CCCGAACGGCCAACGCACCTCGCCGCTGCCGTCTCCACGCAAGGCCTCGTCGTCGGTCGAAGAATGGGTGCTCAACGACGCGCAACAAGCCATTGCCGCTGCCGCAGGCGTCCCCACAGGCCCACCACCTCAAATGCGGCTGCACCGGTCGCTCTCGACAAAGTCCACGGCGTCGGCCGATTCGGCAGCCGAATTGCAGATGCTCTTGTCGGAATTCGACGAGATGGAGGCGGCGCAGGCGAATGCGCGCCGTGCAAGTGTCGCCGAGAAGCGCGTTACGCCGGCCGAGTTCCTCGCGACGTATGCCGATCCGGACGTGCTGGCGGAACTGGAGCGACTGATTGCCGCGCGGTTGCATGGACAACAGGATGGGCAGAGTGGGGAGATGATGGGGGTCCCGGAAATCAAGGTGACTGCGGCGTCGGCCGCGTCCGGGTCCAAGAACGCGTCGGCGCGGTCGTCGACGGTGTTGGGGATGGTCACGCATACGTTGGAGGTGCAGCCGGAGGCCAAAGGCGACGACGAATCGGACTCCGAGAAAGACAAGGGGGAGGGCGAGGAAAAGGACGTGCCGCTCGCGACCCCGCTGCAACCGGCCCCGCCGGCACCGCTCGTGTTTGATTTCGCGACGCAGACGAGTCCCGCGAGTTCGCCGGTCGTGGAAAGTACGCCGATGGGCACACAGACGAGCCCGGACGCGTCGCCCGTGCTCAAGCCGTTGGACCCAATGGTGACAAAGGACAGCGAGACGGATAGTGCCACGCCTGCCAGCAACAAGGCCGACGACGGCCACCGCGACCCGGACCCGGCGCTCCTCGCGCTGACCGCGCAGCTGACCGAAGTCGCCGCGACGTTGCTCGACAAGTTGACCGACCTGCAGAACCGCGCCGACGGGCACGACCACGTGCTTGCCGCGCTCATGGCCGCACAGCAGGACCAGCACGACCATCAGTCGCACGAGACGGCGCCGCCGGCACCGATCGACGCTGATGGCGCTCTCGCGGAAATGGGCCGCGCGCTCGCGAAACTCGCCGAGACATCGACGTCGGTCGCGGATAAGCTCGCCGCCGTTGATGCGTTGGTGGCCGCGGTCGCCAAGGATAAGCCCGTGCGCCGTGCTGCCGTTGGTGCGGGGTTCACGTTCCACGACGTCTCCAATGCCGACGATGAGGAGGACGAGGAAGACGAGGACGACGCGACCCCGACCCCGCGGTCCCGCGCCGGCAGCGACGCGTCTGCCGCGCACGCACACCACGCGCTCGTGCGGTCCCGATCGATCTCGAGTCTCTCCTCGGCGGCATCACTGCACCACTCCCCCGCCCGTGCCAACGGCACTCGGCCGCACGCGCGGCGCAGTCACCGCACCCCGCACCGGAAACGGATCGGCTCGCCGTCAGCGGCCCGTGATCCGGCGCCGTTGCTCGTCGCGCGCCCAGCGCGTGGGATGCCGATGTCGCGGCATTTCCGCACGCGGTTGGAGGCGGCGCGGCGGCGTGCGGCCGAGCATGCACATCCGAAGATGGCGGATGCGATGGATGCGGACGTGGATGAGGAGGTTTTGCAGGATTGGACGCCGCCGGCCGTGCCAGTCCCGGTGCAGGTGGATCGCAAGCGGCCAGTGCTCGGGATGGCCACGGCGGTGTTGGATATTCCCGGGGACCTTGATCACGACGTGCCCAAGGACGTGGTGGAAATCGAGCCGCCGCGCGCGCTCGTGCCCGTCACGCTCACCCCGCCCGCACCCGCGGTACTCGCACCTGCACCCGCGCCGGTTGTCGACTTGTCGGGTGTCACGTCGCAGATCGACCGCGTCGACGATTCGGTCGGCGCGATGCGCGCTGATATGGACGCGCGGCTCGCGGCCCTGGCGGTGGAAAGCAAGCAGCGCGACGCTTCGTTTGCGGCATTCACGTCGTCCCTGATGGCCACGTTTACGGCCCACATGCAGGCAATGGAAGCCAAGTGCGCGGCGCTCGTGTCGCAAGTCGCGGCGTTGCAGGCAGAACGGCGGCGGTCGTGGTCGCGCGCAAGGGGATACGAGGCGGCCGCGATCGAGGAGATGGAGGAGATCGGGACGCAGACGGAAGGTGGCGCGCGACGGAGGGCGGGGTCGGTGGCGAGTACGAGTACCAGCACGATGAGTGTCACGACCGCGGTGGTCGTGCCGAGCGATGGGTCTCCCGTGATTGCAGCGATTACGACGACGACTACCACGACGACAGGGGCGGGCAATGGGATCGCGACGGTCGTGGACACGGCCGCCGGGCCGGATTCGCCGATTTGGGAACATGATCCGGATCGCGTCTACGGATTCGCTGCTGCTGCTGCGGCCGCCGCGGCCACGAATGCCAATGGTCACTCCGCGAGTCCGCCGACGCCCACGCATCCGCCGGTCCCGTCGTCGCCGATGTCTGCCGCTGCGCCTCCCAACGCGGCCCAGTCGGCCGGCGGGATCTTGAACTCGCTTGTGCGCCGCGCGTCATCGAACTCGATGCTGGGGCCAATTATTGCTGCAGTCGCGGGCACACCAGCGTCGCCGACCTCGGCCGATACGCCGCTTGCGCGGAACGGGTCGACGGCGACGCGCGCGTCCTCGGGCGCCACGGCGCGGCCGCGGCCGCATTCGGCATCGCCCGCAGCGAGCACGGTCGCGCCTGCGGCGGAAGGCGGTGCTCCCGGTGCCGGCGAGCGGCCGATGTCCATGGCGTCGACGCGGTCCGGGACCGGGTCTGGTGGGACTGGTAACGCGGCGAATGCGCGGCCCATGTCGATGGCCTCGACGCGGTCGGACGCAGACGAGATTCTCGCGTTCTTTGGCGGCGGGTCCGCCAACTCGGCCATGCACCGGCGCACGCTTGACCGGTATGAGCCCAAGAAGGTGGTCGTCCCAATCCATCTTGCCGCAACGACGCCGCCCACGACCCCGACCATGTCGCTCGCGCGCGGCATGTCATTTGCGTCGCGCAACGCGTCGCGCGCGTCCGTGGCCTCGATGTCGGCCGCGGAACGGCCCACCTCGGCGCCCGCACCGACGCCGCGCGTTTGGTCTCTCATGGAACCCGTGTGTGGGCCGCGCACGACCTCCCCGTGGTCGACGCTCGCTGAACGTGCAAAGCGCACCCCGACCGAAACTGTCACTATTGTGCTATCAATAACTAAATTTTATTTCTATTTACCCTGCAAGGACGAAATTCGCTCGATTTCAAAAAACTTAATAATTAATCAAGCACAACCCCGGTTTTATTATCTCTATTTGTAACTTTACACATATGATTAAACGACCAGGGAGTGGAGTCTGGGGTCCGGGTAGTCATGAATTATATAGCTATGTCATTTTTGTCACATCCTCACATTCGAGAATATAGGCAAGATCGTTGTCAGAAAGGAATCAAGAGATGAGGTGCAGATGAGGTTGACATATTGTATAATTAAAACTCATGTAAGAATATTATATATACAACTATAAATCTACGATTGAGAGCCGAGAGAAATAGATATGACTATCTTAGTACTATTACTAGAGAGGTAGATATGAAACTCAGTGTATATTCACTATTTATGATGATGGTAAGTACATTTTATAGTGACGAGTAGATTAGCGGAAGGCC